TATACTTTACTCATTCTTAGCACATTAATTTGTGTCAATTAACAATAGAGCAACAACCACTTTTATACAAATTTTCATAATTTAAACACACAACATAATTTAAACACACTTACATAATTTAAACACATATGGTGTTGTACTTATTTTTATTTTCAATTGAAAATCTATTATGTTTTGGAATTTTAATTTTTTTAGGTTAAAATGTTTAGAAAATTAAATCACGATTGTTGAAACAAAAATAATGTCAAGAAAAATTAATGAGAAAAAAAATTTAGAAAGTTAATCATTCTTAAAAAATTTAATAAAGTTGCGGACTTAAATTCTGAGTCTGCAAGGTTGGAGGAAAAAAAAATTTGAGTCCATGAATAGTTGTATTTTGGAGGGTGAAAATTTTAGTTTAGCCCCAACATAGTTGGAGATGGTCTCAGGTGGGCAAAGGCTAGAGATTTAATAGAAGAGAAAAAAAGTATGTACAGAATTTGAGATACAAAGGAAAATTGCCATTCATGATTGCAAGTCAAGGTTACATTTCCACAAAGCAGATTTCTAAAAATTACACAAAGTAGGAAGCTGTAGTCAAAATTACAAAAGTGAGAACACTTGCACGACATCACCAAACCCAAGCTTGTACAAAGATAATATCTCATTCTGCTCCTACTTACTATACTAAAGAAAAAAATCTGTCAATCGTGACACAAGGAAATGTTAGTTATGTTCCTAGTACATTAAAAATAATGTTAGTAATTGATTTTTTCAAAAAATTTAAAAAATAAATAAATAAAGTTACTGTAGTAATTAAAACATTACCCTACTATTTACCCACCCACCCACTTTTATCTTTACCATGTCCATTTTTTCTCTCTCATGCCCAACTTAGTCACAAGATTTCTAATAATTTTGCGTCAATTTACTAGACACAAGATTCTGCTACTTATTTTTGCTTTTGCCTATGATAGCTAGAGTGAAGGGGGAAAGAAACAAGAAAAGAATTTTCATGAGAAGATTTTATTTACGCAAGAATGATGAATCAAGAGTGCCATTTGTTATTCCAATTATACAACGCATTCTGTTTTCCACATATAATCAGAAAAACATCGGCAACTACTGAAACACTCTACAGAAAAGAGGAGGACCTCAGAAGCTTCCCAATCATCTTCATCCTAAGGAACCACTGCTGCATTCCCCCCCTTCCACCATTCAAGTCATTCTATTCAAGTTTTATTCTTTTCTTTCCTTCTTTCCTATTAAAAGTTATTTTTACAGTATGGAGTATGCTCGAATCACCTCAACAATCGGTGCTCGACAAAGTGGGCACTTCCCTCCGCCACGAACCAACTCGTTTGCACATTTTGAACAAGTGCACATGTGCCCGCATCTGCACCCAGAAACAAAAAAGAAGGGAAAAGGGGACACACAAAGAAGAGTGTATTATAAAACCATAGTTATTCAAAATGAATGTGTAACGGTTATAAGCACAATACCTGTACAAGAGAGAATCGATGTGGCTATCACAACAAACACAACAAGTCCCTTTTCTCACATGACCCCATTTAGACCCATCCTCTGATGTCTCAGCGCCTAACCCTGCAATGTATTTGCATATTTCAAATCAATTACAAAAGATCAATAGATGACAGTTAAAAGTTACAACACTAGTATAAAAACCCATCCACAATTTTGGTTGAATGATCACATCTACAGTTCCATTGCACACAAGAGAGACATTTCTCGAACAAACCTTTTTCACCAGATGAACGATTCAGAGCTGCAGAAACTTCCTGTCTGACAGAACGTTGCAACTCCAATTGCATATCCATGCAGGCCTCCAACATCCTCTGCATGTGGCTCATGCCGAATTCACATTCAAAGAAAGCAACAGAGAGCAAAGGAAATAAAAACCTAGGCACAGAAAAGTCTTGAAAAGTACTTTTGGTATGGTATGATGTCTTAGCAAACAAGACATCATAAGAATCTTAAAGCATGTGAAAGATGATAGGCCCCCATTAAATATCAAATTGGACAATAATTTTCCACAAAAATGCAAAATATTAGGTACTAGGCTATTTATAAAGAATAGCACATGGTAAAGTAATGAAACAACCACGTCATTATTCCTCAAGGTAATGTCATACTAAGGTCCCAATTCCTTATGATCCACGGAAAGATTCCATATATAAAATAGAATTCTATTTCTAGTCCTACATTCTTTTTTTCTATACATATTTTAATTATGGAATAAAAATCTATAAAATCTGTAATATATATTAATACATATTATATTATGTACATAATAGATATTTAATATAATAAATACATAATATATATTTACTAATGTACTAAATATTGAATAAAAATAGATATTTATAAGTAAATATTACCTTTTATTAAATTTATCATACATATGGTTATATTATATACTTACTAACCAGGTGATGGTTTAAGAACTCAGAAGCCATAATGATAGCATAAATCCACACCTCAAATTTTGAGAGGGAAAAAAATAGAAAATCAGAATGCCTGAGCGAACTGCATTTAGAGAAGAAGAAAAAACAGAGCCAGTATGCTAACAAATGGGATGAAGTCCTAAAAAAGTTTGTATAAGGGAGATGGCTCACGATTTCTGAACGATGCATGCTATGACGAGACCAGCCAGTGTGATGTAAGTCCTGATGCCATAATGGCTGTGGTGGGGGCACTGGTGGAGATGGTAGAACAAGTGAAGGTCTGTTGATGGCATCATGTTGATCTTCATTCTGATCATCCCTCTGTTGCTCCTGATCCTGCTCTGGTGAAGCCGGAGTTGGTGTTGGCAAATTCCTATGCAAATCCCAATCAATGGGAGAACGACTTTGCCTTTCAACATATGACTGTATTAGATGGTCCAGACTTTCACGGAACCCGCTACGAAGAAGATTGGAAACACTTCTCCTACAAAATGAAAAATCATAACCATCATAAAAATAATCAAATCATAAGTCTACGTTGCTTGCAACGCCATATAATTCATCTACTACTGATCAAATACCTGCTCAAAAGTTCCCTGAGTTCCATACTGTACACGTTATCATCATCTGGTGGATGAAATCTATTGAATCTTCTAATTGGAACAGAACGACGATTTCTCACAGGAGCAGAAGGCCCTTCGGCCCAATTTCCAACAGCTTCCCGAGAACCATTCTCATGCCAAATCCCCTGGGCTTCTTGCTGATGATCTGTTTCTCCATCAACATTTCTGGGAGTCTCCTGAGGCCAATTATTGACTGAATTTTCTTGCCAATTTTCAACAGTATCTTCAGCATTACCATCTCTCCATTCATTGAATTGACTGAAAGTTGTCTGCTGCCAGTTTTGTGTCTCATCTTCAGCAATTGGCTCCTGCCAATTCCTTCCTTCATTAGCAGTTTCTTGCCAATCGAGACGTTCAACAGCTGTGTTGCTTTCCAAGTTCCCCATTGGATCAGGCAACAGATTGACGTCAGCCCCATGACTCCCAGTCTGCAATTCCTCATGATTTTCCTGTTGGACATCCTGTGAAGCATTTGTTTGAGTATGATCGCTTCTAGAATCATTAATGTTACTGTTAGTCGCAGAATCAGTATGGCTGCCAACTTGACCACGAACAATGTTTTCTAATCTGGAGCGGAACCCTTCCCTAACAAGGAAACAAACTTGTCACTATGCTAACAACTGACATTCATAGCAATTCTGACCATTACAATTCTGACACTTCAATAGAATCAAACAATACGCAATAGATAAAACTGGAGCAATTAATCCAACCGACAAAATAAAGAAAAAACAAAACATAAATGAAACGAGTGCCCTCATTATTCTGGATTTTTGCTATTCTCCCAGGAAGAAATATTGTAAATCTTTTCCCATAAGTATCATAACATAGCCACCAAACGAGTGTCCTATTTATGTAGTACTGACGAACATTTATTCATCTATGTCAGTTCTATTTGACACCTTGAGCAAAGCAGGTTAAAGCAATGATTGCTCTGGCCACGCCATCTAGAAATGTTTCTATGTACCCCAGCCCAAGATCACTAATAATGTTTCTGCAAAGTGCATTAGACTTGGAAAGAAATTTAAATCTCCTAAAGATATAATTAAATACCAACCAGCTCTTGGTCCAGTGGTACAAACCTCCCAATGTTGGAAGAGGTCTTAAGTTTGAATCTCCCCTCCACTACTGATTAAAAAAAATGAAAGAAGAATTTTGGGCAATGCTTCATATATTAATTTGAAAAAGAAAAAAGTAAAAATCCCAATCAAGCTTTAGAATATCAACAAATTTATAACAATGTAAACAAATTCCACAACGGAAGCAGACAGAAATGACAAAAAGATGACAAAACTTAAAACTGCTTCTTCAAGATAACAGAGATAAATAAATAAAAATTAAAACTGTGTTTATGGCATTCTAAAACGTATGATATCTACACTTCATTTTTTCCTTGTAGATGCATTGCAGGAAAGACAGACCCACAAAAAGCCTGAACAAAAAGTAAAATACGATTTAAAGCTACAATAAAGGCAATGATGAACCAATTAAGTCATCTTAAGAAGTATGGCATGACTAAAAACATCTCATACCTTAAACCAGAAACAGTGTGTCGCTGTCTCAACTGAACTAATTCACCAGCAGCCATGGAAGGCGGTCTTTCTTCTTCAATGGGTCTTTCATTCCGTAAGAATCTACCTCTGAGCAATGACTGGAAATGTTCAATTCTATTAGTAGCCAATTCATGCCCATTTATGCAGGAAGTTTAACATCCACATTATCATATAAGGGAACTTTTTGGAGAGCAGAACAAGGAAAGAACTATGCAATTCCACTACATTAGGATGACGTCAATGCAACTTCTAGCACGCACATTTAAAGACATTATAGGCCATCGTAATAAGAACAGGCATATACAGGAAAAAACTTATAAATATGCATTAGGGTTTAGGTTTGAATACTAAAAGGGGAAAAAGGATCAATGGGTATTAAGACACGTAGGCGACAACTAATAACTATTTCCCTTATAAACATAACTTAAGCATTCACCATATAGCAATATAATTATTAATTAACGTCTGAGTTAATATTTTCTTTACAGGGAGTAGAGATGTTAATTTGGGAGGAAACCAAGTGAATACAATGATATCCATGCAACTGGATGTAGAAACCTAGAATAAATCCATATCACCTACTGAGACAGAATAAAGGTATATCAGAAAGGGAGGAAAAACTAATGCTTTCTTAACCATCAGCTCTGGCTTCTGGTTCGTAGGACTCATCCACTAATATGAGGGGATACACTAATATGCGACCATAAACATATTATGAAGACTTAATCTGCTACTTGCCTGACAACGATTGTACTCAGCTATTTTGATCTTCTAAAGAATCCAGTCAAATTACAGAGCTCAAGTTTGCAGCTCTAATAATTTACAAATTTTGTACGATGGTAATTTGTAGATGCTCATTCATTGATAGACACCACACCATGGGAGCAAATTGATTTATGTTAAAAATATGAACAAATAAACAATCTTCATGAGGCAACTGACCTGAATGCGGTTACGATGAGCAAAATCAGAGACAGCCCGATGCTCCACCAAAGATTGGAGCTCCCTTTGTCTTTCCGTCTCAATCCTCACGAGCAAATCAATTATAGCTTGTCTTCCGCGCAACCTCAACATGTCCCTGCGAATGTGCTCCGGTTGGCCTTCTTCATGGTCAGCAACAGGAGCATCACGAGCTCGATCAACTTGAGCACCAATACTCGTAACTTGATCTTCCCTTCGGCCCCCACGTGCTCCTCTTTGCTGACTTGCCATTTGCACCCACTCACGAACAATTCTCACCCTTTCACGCTCTGTCTCACCTAGCCACTCTGCTCTGGGACTATTATTTCTCGGAGCAACATTGGATGAATGATCACTAATGCCAGTTTCCATCCATCCTCGTACAATCTGCCTCACTCTCTCCCTCTCAACTTCGCCAAGATCAGGAGATTGCTCCCTACTAGATGCGTCATTAGCGCCACGTTCATGCTGTGAAGCCATCTGATCATGTGACCAAGTCCCATACTCATTCTCACTCTCACTCGCATCCACCAAACTACCCTGATTCTCACTCCCTCGACTATCAGACATATTTGTGGTTGACTCATTAGTATTAGACTCAACACTCCTCCGATGCCTCAACCTTTCCCTCACCCTTTCACGCGCTCTGTTCAACACATGCTCATCCTCTAACTCCCTCCACATTTGCAAAATCGCAGAAGCCTGAGTGCTTGGCCTCTCCACAGCCCCCTGCCGCCTTGAAGTAGGGGACTGTGACTCCCTCAAGAATGAGGAGTCAAGCATCGACACCGTATGCAGCCCTGCGAGTGCCATCAGCTCAGACTCACGATTCCTCCTCTCAATGGTAGTTATCATTTCTTGTGCCTGCCGCGCAGCCCAACGGCTCAAAATCCGGGAGTGGTGGCGTCGGGCAGCCGATGACTCTGCTAGATCATCACCCTCCAAATCCAACCTCCGTCTCCTCCGCACGAGCTGCTCACCCTCATCATCATCATCATCAGGATTACGAGGAGAACTACATGATGCAAATGACATACATTCATCCAAGTGCCCACGCATGAATTCCTCAAATCCACGCTCAAAATCAGCGCAGGCATCGGCGGATTCTGGCTTCTGTTGTAGCGGCTCAAAATCCGTCATTACTAACCTATCAAATCCCACACTAGGTCACCCAATCACCAACCTTTAACCTCTATTCAATTCCCAAAACTCACCTAAACCTTAACACTCCATTTCCAAGCCCAAAAGTCAAAAACAATAATAAAATAATAATAAAAACAGTTGCATCTAAACCAACATTCACAATCTACAGCCATACAGAACCAAATCCCAAATTGATTGTCAAAATCACAAAATTACGAAATCGAGGAAACAGTGAACACTAACCTAATCAAAACCGAAATTCATTCATAGGTCGTAACCACATCCCCACAGCTAATAACAAAATCACAAATGAAATTGAGAATTGGATGATTCCAAGAAGAAGAAAAATAGAAATTCGGGGGCCAAATAGATCGGCTTAAGAACATTCGTGAATGCCGGAATTTCGATTGGTGCGAAGAAGAAGGCGTACCTCTGAAGCTTCAATGTTTTTCTAATCTCAGTGGGTGTGTGTGTGTGTGAGAGAGAGAGAGAGAGAGTTCCGTTTGCAACGAAACCCTAAGCTTCAGGCAAATGTGAGTGAAAGAGAGAATTGTTGAAGACAGAAAAAAGGAAGAGAGAGATCAGAGAGACGAGAATGATTTCAGAATTTATAAATTAACATTCAGAGACAAGAGAGAGAGAAAGAGAGAGGAAGAGAACGATCCAAAAGGACAGAGAGAGAGAAGAGCGGCGGTCTATTAGGTGTTGCCACGTAGTTCTTAGTTTTTCGTTTAAAAAAATTTTCTTTTTGCTGTGGGCCATCGATATTTTCCACGTCACGTCAGAAATTGCAAAAATTATGTGGTAATATTTACTTGTCATAGTTTTCTCAATAATTAATATGAGGTATCTCAAACCTCCATAAGTCTGTTTGGTTTATAGGAAATGAGGCTTAGGAATGAGAAATAAATTATTTTATTATGTAAGTTCATGCATGAAAAACGGTTGCTCGTACATGGAAAAGTAAGGAGGAAAGTGAAGTCATTCTTTCCCCTTTGGTTTTATTTTCCCTTCTTATGAGAAAGTTTGGGAAAATGAGCCCACATTAAATGCATAATTTTCATGACCATTTTGTTCTCATTAACAATTTAGAATTACAATATATCATTAAATGCATTCTTTTTTTTATTTGATTTAATATGGGTATAATTGGAAAATTATACAAATTTATTTCCATTCCTACTCAAAACAAACCTAGAAAAGGAAATAAATTGATATCTCCAGGTTACTTTCCCAGCTTAACCAAACATGGGAAAGGAATCTTTCATTTCCAATCCCTTGGAAAATGACATGGGAAGTGATTTTCCCTCAAATTCGTTCCTTGAACCAAACAAGACTTAAAAGGAAGGAAATTCAGGTATGAGAATGTTTTTGGAAACACCATAATTGTTTTACCAAGTCAGTCATATTATTTAGCTTTAGTTCAACTGGCATTAGGAGAGAATGAGCAATGAACCAAAAGAAAAGGGCTCTCGTATGAGAAAAACTTCCAAACCTTGTGTTGTTTGTTCCTACCATGTGAGAACATTATAGAAAAAATTTATGTGGAGCTGTTTCTATTACGTGACATTACAAAATGACATAGCAGTCCAAGTAAAATATGACATGTGCTCGAATTTGACGACTAGTTTTTATATCATCAGCACATGTCATTTATTAATTAGATCAATTTACCACTATGTACTAGCATGTAATTGAAGGAAACTGTTTTGTAAACTTTGGTAATATATTTGAACAACATATGCTAGGTACAATAATTATGACAACAAAAGCTTTATATATTTAAGCATGAGCACAAAAAATACCTCTAAATTAATCTAATCTATGGTGACAGGGTTTTGAACTTGAGTGCAAGAATGGTGGGCTCACTGTTTTGGCCAACTGGTCTAACCCACGTTTGCAATCAATTAATCTTAGGGGGTGTATTCAATTAGGATTCTAGAGAGTTTAAAAAGATTTTGTTTAGGTGCCAACTTTCATAGAACTTGATGAAACTTTAGAATTCGCATAGAACATGATAGACTTTCAGAAAACTTCTATATAATTTTTTAATAAACTTTCTTAAGATTTGTATGGCTTTTATTCCAAACTTCTATAATTTCTTTAGCTAATATGGTTCTTTGTTCTTTATAGTCGTAATGAGAAAAACAGACAGGAAAAGATCAGCTGACTGCTAGAGGAAAAAAATGAAGTATGATAAAGGCCCTGAAAAAAACAAAAGACCTGCTCAAGTAGGCCTCCATCTTCTACAGAAACTTTGAGCATGTGGCCACCCTTGTTTTGTTTGCTTTGAGATCTCATCAAAGCCATGACTTTATTAAATAGAAAATTAGTTAAATTACCCATTCCTAAACATAAAACTATAAATAAACCTTATACTATTTAATGTATATAAACACATCCAAAAGAAACCCAAAAATCGACAGATTTCGATTTTTTCAATTCAACAGTTATATTGGATTACGATTTTTCCCTTTTGGGTGCAATTTTGAGAACAATTGACTTAATTTTTTTTAATCTTTTATTTAATAACAATTAAGTTGTAGATTGAAGAGGAATAAGAAGAAGAATAGCATCGACCATGGCGATGCATGAGCTCATGACTCGTGGAGCAGCTTGTGTGGCTCCAGGCTCATCTTCTTCCTCCAATCCTTTCGGTGCTCTAGGCAACGCTCTTATCGATTCTTCTTCCAAGACTTAGGTTCGTCGTCTTCCTCGTCGCTTCTTTCACTTTCAATTTCTCTTCTTTATTTCGAATTTTCAATCCTCAAGTGGCCTCAACAATGTCATTTTCTCAAGCTTTCATTTGATTCACGAGCAGGAAAGGTTGAAGGAGATACCTCATCCACGCCCACAGCTTCTAAGCCGTAATTTTATCCAGACGCTCATGGCCACATGTTGCACCAAATCTGAGAGAAGGCTCACAAGGATGAGCTTAAGAAGAACGAAGAGACCATTTCAAGGTCAGCCGAATCATATTGGTATGATCTGATTTGATTATCGCCGAAATTCGAAGCTCGTAGAGCAGTTTCTTTGCATTTTTGTGATTAATTTGAATATGTCTACGATTTTTTTTCTTAGTTTTGCATTTCGTTTACAAATTGCGATAAATAAATTGATTATTAAAAAAAATCTAAAAATTACTTGCTTGCTTATTTGTGTTAGTTCTAATATGATTTGTAATGTTGGTATTATGTTTCTAGTTCTTAGCATAATGGTTGAGCATCTACATAAATATTTACTATTTGTATGATGTACATGCTAAGCTACTGTTAGTTAGCAATTTTTGTTTCAATCTTACCACTGCTTTTGCTATTATAGAAGGATAATAATGTTGTTTACTTGTTAAAATTCCTTTTTCAACGGGTTGAGACCTAGGTTTTGCTTATGTATATATTTTTTTTAATGTGAAAATATATTGTATTATGCCTTTCGGGATAATGAACCGTTAATAAGGGCATTGTCAAGCAAGTCAATCATAACAATCCAGATCTTGTCTTGTTTGTTGGAGAGGCACTAGTTGGAAATGATGTTGTTGATCAGCTTTCAAAGTTTAATCAGGTTTGAGCTCCATATCTTAATCAGGTTTGAGCTCCATATTCATGGTTTTTAGTAATATTGTCTAATTAGGGTTTGTTTGTTGATTTAAATGCAACTTCTTCTTCTTGTTGGAGTTGTACACTTTTATTCTACCTATTATGGAAATGAAATGATGTAGTTGTTAACTTCCAGTAAGTGGTATGAACAGTTATTATATTGTGCATGCCCTGCAACTGAGTTGATTTCTATGACATAGTATTAACAATGTACCTCTATGACATAGTATGAACAGATTTTCAGTAACAAAGCATGCTCTATATTTTGCTATATATAAATATATATAGATGTACACTTGAAGTTTATGATATGTAGAATGTGATTTTTACTAGGAAGATAATTCTATAACATAGTATTAACAGTGTACTTTTTTTTTTTTCTTGTAGAGGTATCTTGTTATTACTAGTATTCTTCTTCTCAAAGTTTTTCGTATTTTAGTATACCTCAAGTCTTTTTTTTTTTTTTTTTTTTAAATTATTGTTTTAAGGTTTTGGGTTTCTTTGTTAACCCTTTTTCATTTGGATAGTCTAAAAATTTGCAGTTTTGGCTTTGGTAGAACTATGATCAAAATGGTCGGGTTGTAAATTTCTCTGGTTTCTAATTTTGTAGATGTTTGGTCTTTTGTTGTAAACGATTTTGAATCCTCAAGTCCAGTATATGCCTTCTATTTTGTTGCTTTGACACCATTTCTTATGACATGTTGATTTGACATAACTTGTTGCATTATTGGTTCTTGTAGTTACTGTCATACAAACAGGTTTTTTTTAGGTATGTTTTTTTATTTGTAGGTTTGAGACTTGAAGTTTGTTTATCAATAACATATTTGTCAAGGTAGATACCCCTGCATAGATTATCCATGAATAAAATTAGCAAGAATGTGTTCGCTTTAAAACTTTAGATGCTAATGCTAGATAATTGAGAGGAGTAATGTGGTAAGAGTTGTACCAATATTTCATAATTTTCAGCAATTTAGAACTTCTCCTTTGCAAAGCTTGGCCACTGCGAATTTTGGCAATGCCAATGGATGCCACAGCGAGCGGAACCCCAACTATACAATACCATAAGAGAGCATGTTGCACTTGATCTGCACATAATTTAGGTCATCTCATCTACTTGGCTTCTTGTTTGTTTTTGTTTTGGATGATGACTATTGGCCTTTTGGTTTGTACGTTGGTCTGGTTTGTTCTTTCTTCATCCTTTATTTGGTATACCTGCATTAGAAATAGCAACATGACAGCCGTTAATTAACATGACAGTAAAGTAGCAGCGTTAATACCCCATACTGGAACTTCACAATGGTAGACATGCATTAGAAATAGGATTTCATAAAGAACTAGCAGTGTTATTACCCTATACTGGAACTTAACAATGGTAGACATACATTACAAATAGAATTTCATAGGATACAAGTAGTGTTATTACCCAATACTGGAACTTAACAATGGAAGACATGCATTAGAAATAGGATTTCACAGAAAACAAACAATGTTATTACCCTATACTGGAACTTTATAGTCATTAATCAACATGACAGTAAACTTTATAGCCAGAATAATGGTCCTATGCAGTCAGTCCAATAGTGAAATCCAATATAGTTTTAAGATTTTTTCCTTTATTTAAAGGTTTAGTTTGTAAATGTCTTACCTTTGAAGCATTTTCTTGTTGAAATTGTTCTCTGAAATTTTGTCTTGGTTTTGCAGGTGGAAGTCAGTGTGTGGTGTTTGTTTTTTAAAGTAGATCAAGCTTGGTGGTGGTTATGGAGTCTTGGTTTGGACAGATGATGAAAACGCTTTGATGAAGATGGTGAATGAAGAGATGTTTTGCAGAGATGGTTTAATGTAGGCGTGTGCTGGAAGTTAAGTTACGGTTTTCTTTTTCTTTTTGGACGAAAGTTTCGGTTTTCGAGGTGGTAAAATATTTGGGATTTTTTTTATAAAATTGGGCTAGGGTTGTTTTAGGTGTTTTCTTGAGTTTTTTGCTGTTGGGCTTGATAATGGCAGTCCTATAATTTATAGGAACTTTAACTCCAATTTGTTATATAATAAATGAATTTTGGGTGTGTTTCTAAAGTGCATTCTATGTGGGGGTTTTTTTAAAAAAAAA